TCTGTCCAGTGCCCACCTCCCCTCAGCTTCAGAAGAGTGGAAGACAGATCTCATCAAGATGAAGATATTCCTGCTGGTTCTCAGATTCAGCCTGATCTGTGCTTCATCCCAGGTCAACCCAGCAGAGGTACCTGGATGGGCTGACCTTGGGGATCTCTCTCTCTGTCTCTCTCTCGCTCGCTCGCTCTCTCCTTCTTTCTTTCTCTTCTCACATTTCTCAATTTTATGTGACATGAGATTTTGTGAGCATCTCAGTCCACATACATCTATATCCATGATGGTAACCTTCCCTGTTCATGTAATCCAACTCTTTCTATGAATATCACATTCCTCTTTAAGTAAATAAATGTAAAAAAAAGTTAATCTGCCAAACTACTATCTACTCATTGCCATATATTTGCTGATATTGTTTAGGTGTTTCAGAGCCTCTCAAATTCATGCTTCTGTGGGAATCTGAGTCGTGACTTTAGCTGATACAATTCTGGGGAGCAGAGCTTGCATGGAAACCTCTTGATTGGATTTAGTTTTTCTTCTGAGCTAAACCAGCTGCAATAGTTATGATAAATATGGATGAGAGAAGAACAAAAGGAGCCCATATCCATTCCCAGAGGATCTTTCCTTTACAGGTCACTGGGGACTAGCACACCATTCTTGTGGGACCTGATGACTTAGAGAAGATTAGTGAATATGGAGAGATGAGGTTCCATTACCGTCACTTAGATTGTAGTGATGGAGGCAACAAGATGGACTTTTTCTTGTACTCCAACTAAGTGAAAATCACCCCAATGTAATAGGACAATGGGAGTCACCTCTGACACAACAGACATCACTTCTGCACTCAATTCTGTGTTTGTGTCTGTGTCCCTGCTTGGAAAGAACTGTATCCTGAATTCCCAGAAGATAGAGAGAGAGGATAGAATATGAGGAATTCATATTTCAGAATTAACTGGAGCAGCAGCATTTATATGAAGGTTGGGGATCTGATAATTAAGACAGGAAAAATAAAAGTGTGTATATTAATGTCATGTGTATATATATATATATTTAGATTAGGTGGAATATTATATGTTGGTAATATTAAGGGCTTAATATTGTTTATATAATATTATAGACATCTATTATGTATATATGCATATGCATAGAAATATTATATATATATTATATACATCTATTATGCATGCATGAATAGATATACAAATATTACGCACTTATATTATGTATGCATGCAGTGATTATACAAATGGACAATGTCCTGGAGTCTCCA